GCTGGATTCAACAGGGGGTCACAGGCTGTGGGGAGAGAGGATAGTAGCATTCATATGGAGTAATTGTAAAGGAGGGGAGGAGGGGGAGGAGGAGGAGGAGGAGGAGGGAAAGGAGGGGAGGAGGGGGAGGAGGAGGAGGAGGAGGAGGAGAAGAGGAGGAGGAGGAGGAGGAGGAGGAGCAGGAGGAGGGAGGAGGAGAAGGAGAAGGATAAGGAGGGTAAAGGCGCGAAGGAATACGAGGGCGAGGAGGAGGAGGAGGAGGAGGAGGAGGAGGAGGAGGAGGACGACGACGAGGGCCAGAAGGACGATGAAGACAAGGAGCTCGTGTGGGGCCCATATGACTGGGCAGGGAATGTTTCGCCTCCACCCTCCACCTGTTTCCCATCCCTCCTGCGTTGGGCTCTCGTTTATGAAGCGCTGTGGTCTCCGTCCTCCCGCCTCCCCCTCCTCTCCTCCCGTCTCCCTTCCTCGCCTCTTCCCTCCTATGCCCCTTACCTCGCTCGCTCCTGCGTGCCAGCTTGCCTCCTACCTGGTCATCCCTTGGGGCTGCGATCTGCGAAACCGTCGCCACTTTCGAGGGCCGCTGGGGGGTCCAGCGGAGTGGGGCCTTACGCAGATTCAGATTAGACTTCACCATCCCTGGGGGGCTGCGATCTGCGAAACTGTCGCCACTTTCGAGGGCTGCTGGGGGGTCCAGCGGAGTGGGGCCTTACGCAGATTCAGATTAGACCTCACCATCCCTGGCGGGGTACGATCTGCGAAACTATCGCCACTTTCGAGGGCTGCTGGGGGGTCCAGCGGAGTGGGGCCTTACGCAGACTCAGATTAGACCTCACCATCCCTGGGGGGCTGCAATCAGCGAAACTGTCGACACTTTCGAGTGCTGCTGGGGGGTCCAGGGGTCCAGCGGCGTGGGGCCTCACGCAGATTCCTCTCCTTCTCCCTCTCTATATTTATATGTATATGTATATGTATATATATATATATATATATATATATGTATTATCATATGCACCTGCGTTACAAAAGTTTCCGTATGACTTGATATTCAATCATCTTACGTTGGCACGGCAACGTCCCGTCCGGTGGGTTTCCTAAAACCGTGTGTTTTACGTCGGGGTTCCCAACTACCCCGTTTTTATAATATATATATATACACACACACTATATAACCGGAGGAAATCTCAGACTTAGAAATCCCGGATCTTTGATCCGACCGCCAGCACAACCTGAAGGATGTGATGGAGGTAGTTCGGAGGTTGTGCTGGAGGTTGTGATGGACGTTGTGCTGGAGGTCGTGCTGGAGGTCGTGCTGGAGGTTGTGCTGGAGGTTGTGCTGGAGGTTGTGTTGGAGGTTGTGATGGAGGTTGTGCTGGAGGTTGTGCTGCAGGTTATGCTGGACGTTGTGATGGAAGTTGTGCTGGAGGTTGTGCTGGAGGTTGTGCTGGAGGTTGTGCTGGAGATTGTTGTGATAGAGGTTGTGCTGGCGGTTGTGCTGGAGGTTGTTGTGATGGAGGTTGTGCTGGCGGTTGTGCTGGAGGTTGTGCTGGAGGTTGTGCTGGAGGTTGTGCTGGAGGTCTGGGTTTTCAACTTTTAAAAATTTGAAAGTTGAAACTTTGCAAACTTTGAAAGCTTGCGTTTTTCAAGGCATCAAATTTTGAAATTATGGAGTTTGAGAATTTGGCACTTCGAAATGCATGGATTTCAAACTTTCAAACTTTTTGTTCTTTCTCAAACTTTCAAACTTTCAAACTTTCAAAATTTGATTTTTTCTCAAACTTTAAAATATAGCTTTTTAAACTTTGAAAGTGTGAAAGTTTGAAAGGTTGCACGTTTGAAAGTTTGAAAGTTTGAAAGGTTGCAAACTTGAAAGTTTAGAGGTTTGCGGGAACGCGCCTGTGCAGAAGTTTGTCGGTTCGCCCAAGTTGAGAACGCTTGCGGGTTTCCTTCAAACCTTGCTTTTGTAACTCAGGGAAGGGGAACAAGGACGCTGCGGCGGACTACCTCCAATCCTCCTTGCGGACCGTCGTCGACGACGTCTTCGCGGCTCGGATTCGTCGTTTTCGTTCATACTCAAGCGGAAGACGGGGAGGAGGAGGAAGAGGAGGGGCAGGAGGAGGAGGAGGAAAGGGAAAGGCAGGGATTCAAGAGAATCAGGGCGAGGTATGGGGGACAGCGTGGCGCATTCGACCTGCAGGAATATACACTATCATAATTGTTTCCTTGGTATCGGGTCACACCTCGTCGCTACGGCTGGGCGCGGCTCGAAGGTGTCTTGTGATGTGCGTCGGTGCTCTGCCCGCCCCACTGATCAAGGCACGCCTGGTTGACGTAATGTTTTTCCTCATTACGCCAACCAGTATTTTTCATTGCTCTCCAAAAAAACTTCGGACCCATATTGTTTTGAGGTTTTGAGGACGTCGCCGGAATACATCCCGCGAAGCCAACGAGAGGAAGAGGAATACGAGGATGAGGAGTAGGAAGAGCCTTGGGGGAGAGTTGTTTGGATGGTCAAGGAGAAGAGAGTATGACGGGGGAAATTGACAACGTGCAAACCAGACGGGGTCGCATACTTTTACAAACTCGTGTCCTCGAAGGGGGAAACGCTCGCAAAATGTTCAAACATGTGTTTTAGCATTTTCTGGAGATTGACGCCGGGGACCACACTGATTTGCTTGAGTGTCGGGTTTCCGTATCGTGTTGCAGAACAGAGGGTTCTGCCAGGACGTCGCTATTGAAATGCGCGCTCGCACGCGCCACGCCGCAGGCACACCGCGGGCGCACCGCCAGCACACCGGGCACAAAAGCGCACCGACACGCACAAACACGTGGAGCCAATTATTTGATTTGAACGAGACGTCTGCATGTTTTCGGCGCGTGAGTGGAACTTGCTCAGCAGGCTAGCGCGGGGGAGTTTGTCCCAGTTCCCTTTAAGAGGAAGACAACTGTTTCCCCCAAGCCGGCCCGCGAACGAGCTTCGCCAGCGCACCAAAAAACATGCCGACGTCTTCCATAAATAACGCAAGTGGTATCACGTGTTCATGCGTGTCGGTGCGTTTTTGTGCCTGGTGTGCAGATGGTGTGCCCGCGGTGTGCCTGCGGTGCGGCTTCGGACAAATCGTAATCGTCCGATTTTCCATGGCTGCCCTCATGAGAACGAATGAGCTGCAATCCAAGAAATTGTTTCCGCGCTGGTCGAGGATTGGTTTTCGGAAGCCCCCGGAGGGCTGCGCTCCGAACTCCTCATGTCGGTTATCCCTCCCCTGGCGCTCCCACCCCCCGCTCTTCGCATACCCATACGCCGCGTGCTCGAGCAGCAGGTGGACACGAAGATGGCTCAATATCGAAAGTGGAGCTTGCAACTAAACTGTTACATCATGAATGGACTTCGACCCGCACATTCGTTCTGAAACTGATCATTCTACTGAACAAAGGACCGCGTGACAGAGCTGAAGGTGGCCCAAAGTATTGCAAACTACAGCCCTCAAAGCTCTCAAAGAAGCCGAGGGGGCCAGAAAACAAGATGCGCACCCCCGGGCGGACACCTCCTCGTCCTCCTCCTCCTCCTCCTCCTCCTCCTCCTCCTTCTCCCCGCCATCCTCCGTCACCAGCCTCCTCCTCCTGCGCCTCCTCCTCGTTCTTCTCGTGGGGCGTCCCCGGGGTGGCACAAGAAAACGGAAAGCAAGATGCGCAACTTCGGGCTGTAACCTACTGCTCATCCTGCTCCTCCCGTTTTCGCCCTTCGCTTCATCGGGGCTGTGCGGGGGAAAACAACAGGAGCAAGATGCGTGCTGAAATCCTCCTTCCCTCGTAGTCCTCCTCCCCGTCCTCATGTGCTCCTCTTCCACCTCACCCCTCTCCTCCTCCTCCTCCTCCTCCTCCTCCTCCTCCTCCTCCTCCCCTCTTCCTCCTCCTCCTCCTCCTCCTCCTCCTCCTCCTCCTCCTCCTCCTCATCCCTCTCCTCCTCCTCCTCTCCTCCTCCTCCTCCTCCTCCTCCTCCTCCTCCTCCTCCTCTTCCTCACCACCATCATCATCATCAGCGGCATCAACATCATCATCCTCCTCTTTCTCCTCCTGCTCAGCATCATCATCAGCAACGCCATCAGCATCAGCATCAGCATCAACATGAGAATCATACTGCTCCTACTCCTCCGTCTTCTCCCCGCCGCCCACCGTCACCAGCCTCCTCCTCCTGCGCCTCCTCCTCCTCCTCCTCATGGGGCGTCCCCGTCGTCCTCTTCCTCTTTCTCCTTCTGCTCAGCATCATCATCATCAACACCATCAGCATCAGCATCAGCATCAGCATCATCATGAGTGCCATACTGCTCCTCCTGCTCCTCCTCCGTCTTCTCCCCGCCATCCACCGTCACCAACCTCCTCCTCCTGCGCCTCCTGCTCCTCCTCCCCCTCCTCATGGGGCGTCCCCAGGGTGAAAAAAAACGGAAAGCAAGATGCGCAATTCGAACTGGCACATACTGTTGATCTTGTTCCTCCTGTTTTCGTCCTTATCCTCGTGGGGGCCTTGCGGGGGAAAACAAACAGGAGCAAGGCGGCAAAGTGTGATGGAGCACAAGATGGCCTCGAAGATGGCACTGGATAGCCCAAGTAAGGAACACAAGTATACAGGAAGTTCAGGGGGAGGGGGGACACCTGCAAAAAAATCGTGGACCCGCAGATTCCTTTATGAAGTCGTTATGTTTCCAGGACCCGGCGCCGCGTGCTCGAGCACAGTATGGCACCCAACATGACATGATTGTCGGCCATGCCCTGACCTATCACCTTGCCTAACGCGTTGCCACCTGACGTCGCTTCGCAAGTGTGTAGTGTGGATGCAGTCTCTGAGCGGGGGCTACAGTGCCCAGAGCCATTGTCGCACGACTACGGCTGAAACGTACGAATGGGTTGGGTACGTCACAGGGTAAGTCCATCCTCCTCCGCCTTCTATTGCCGTTTTGGCTCAAAACCTGGCTTGAACATCGCAATTCCGCACTTAAGCCGTCATGGGCGGCAAGAGGGCAGCGCCGAAGGGCGCGGCGGTGGCGAAGGCGTCGCCAGATGCCGCTAGCAGGGCGACCACAGAGCTGCAGCCAGCCAAGAGGACCAAGATTGCGACCAAGAAGGCGACCGTGCCGGCGGGCGTGATGAACAGCGACATCATCCAGACGATCAGCAGCATCGAGCAACGCATCAAGGACCACGCCGTCTTCCAGGGGGTCTCCAAAGCTCCACCTCTGGAGCTCGTGCAGAGGGCTGACCCTGAGAACCCTTTGGAATGGGGATCAGCAGCGGGATTTGACCCTGCCGCGTTCAAGAGGGCGATTGCAGCAAAAGGAGAGTACCGATGCAATCGCTCAATCTTCGTGTTCAAGACATTGCAGACCTCCACCAAGAAGACGCCCATCCAGTGGAAGAAGGTCGTGATGCTGAAGGAGCATTTCTGGGGCCAGCCGCCTACAAATTGTTTCACAGATGCCATGACGTTCTGTGGAGCTGTTCGCACAGACGAAGACCCTGACACAATGCATGGTGAGGTTCAGCTGATCAGTCCCATCGAAATGACGTGGTCTTTACTGCTGGCAGTCGATGAGGCGATCGCTAATGGGGAGCCTGAGGAGGTGCTGCTGAAGTGGTGCTCTACGCTGGTCAGCGTCCCTTGCCGCTTCATCATCAGCGACAACCAGAGCGACCGGTACTGGAAGCACATGCAGACCAGGGAGGACATCGCGCAACTAGGCGCGATGGTGAAGAGGACATCCGTGGAGCGCGGCTTCGACGTCATGGAGGCCAAGGAGATGGCGGAGGATGGGAAGGGCGGCGTCACGCTCAGCGCCAGTGCCTGCTCTGAGCTCTGGAAGAGCAACGTGAGGTTGGCCCACAATTCAGAGCCTGTCAAGCCGGCGTTCGTAGATGCAGTATTCACGGTTTTTCAGCGCTTGATGACCGACGACGTGTGCAAGCAGATGGTTCTAGCTTCGGAGGTCGACTTCGAGGGTGCGTTCACGATGTGCAAGCTCGAGGCGGTTGTGAAGCGATGCGGCTCCATCGAGCTCATCAGGTGGACCGTGTCCATGTTGTACCACCAGCTGCAGAACGGGGATCTACTGCCTACGGACCTTTCGCTCAGGCAATATACGGGCCGCGGTAATCCTGGCAACAAGGGTATCTTGGACTTGGTGGTCGCCAAGCACGAGGTGGCGACCTTCATGGCCGAGGACGCCAAGTCCCGCTCTTTCGACGAGCAGGTTGGGGGCCCACACGTCACCCGCCAATCTGGTCATCGCCACTACCTCTCTTGCATCCTCGGACAGGGTGATCGACAGAGGGTTAGGGGCGATGACCAGCTTGAGGAGTGAACTGAGGGTCCCCTCACATGTTGTCACGAAGTTCGCGCTGTGGACCGGCGGTGTGCACTTGTACTATGCTGACGTCGGCCTGTGGGATCCAGCCAGGAAGCAGTTCGACACTGACGCGATGTGGATCAGCACCATGAGCTCGTCAGCCCAGAGTCTGGCAAGGCTGGGGGGAGGAGGAGGAGGAGGAGAAGGAAAATGGGGGAGGAGGAGAAGGAGGAGGAGGATGAGGAGAGAGAGATGGGAGCAAGGAGGAGGCGGAGTACGAGATGGAGGAGGAGGAGGAGGAGGAGGAGGATGCGAACGGCGGGCACCCTTCCCCTCCTCCCTCCTCCCCACCCTCGCCTCCAGGAGGAGAATCATCGCGTCTGCCCGCCTGGGCTGGCGGGTAGACTGGATGAGTCTCCCGACGTAAGGCTTTGGGAGAACACCGTCGTGGGCCACGTGCGCGACAGCCAGCTCAAGGCGTGCAAGATCGCGGGGAACCCGCTCTCTGAGGGCTTCTTTGGGAAGTCGCCGTTCAAGGATGCGATCGAGGGGGTCTACTCGGAGCTGGAGAAGGAGGATCTGGGGAAACCTCGAGTGCAAGGAGACGGAGAGATCACCCTCAAGGATGTCGAGAAGGCGAGCGAGGATGCATCTGGTTCCTCGACGATCATCACCATCGGCATGGGCAACACCAGTGCGAGCGCAGATGAGCTGGCCAAGTGGACCGACTACGCCCGGAAGATCTACTCTACGCGCGTCAAGCTTGTGGTGGACCCTGGTTCGGCACAAGGCGTCAGCGAGGTCATCAAGATGTCGGCCCTGAGCAACGTGGCGGACAAAATCAAGTCGACGACGACGCTCATCCCTGTCATGTACGACCAGAAACTCGCTGGCATGGCATCGGCTAGAAGCCATATCCGCATCGTCCCCTTGCGCGAAGGCCACTTGAGCTACATGGTGAAGGGCGTTTTGAAGGCCACTGCCCCTCTGAACCAGATGCCGAAGACCCACGCCTTCTACATCCTCGACGGCACCGTGCATGGGAACGAGGCGAAAGTCGCGAGAGCGTTCCAGGGGGAAGACGGCAAGGCCATTCCCAAGGAGCTGGGATTGCATATGGGGGATCACCTCGTTCCTCTTGTCTCGCCCTGCATTGTTCGGGGAGGGGCGGGAGGGTCGAATTGATGCTCCGATGCACGTCCCATTGAGGAGAAACGCTTGCAGTACGTGATGTCGACGGAATCGTCGCTGCGCAAGCGGCGGTCCATCGTCAGGGGCAGCTCGCAACTTCCACTGGTTGAGTACTGCAATATCTTCACGCACCCGGAGACGGAGTTTCAGGAGAAGGACCGCGTCAAGTGCGCTGGTACAACCAAGGGCGATGTCCTGGGGCCCTTCGACGTTCCCGACAACAGCAAGGAGAACGTTTGGCACGTGCAGCACTCCAAGAAGCTCAAGATGTACGCAGCAGGCTTCATCGAAGTCGGCAAGGCAGTTGCGGGCGACATCCCTGAGGACGACCCCGCTCCCAAGCAGGCAGAGCAGGTCCCGTTCTGCTACCACGGCAACTCGCAGGACCTCTACAAAGAGCTCGGCCACGCGGTCTCGGCGCCAGGATGGATTGATTTGACCTGCTGCGACGGAGGCTTGGCATTGCACTGTATCAAAGAGAAGAAGCCGTACCTTGGCTTCTGCTTCTCGCAAGATCACCGCGATGCTCTGGAGACCTACCTCATCGATCAGATATTCAAGTGCTTCCAGCGGGCAGACGACGAGCTGCACGAGCCTGACCTGGCCAAGCTCTTCAATCAGAAGGATGACGACGACGAGCCGAAGAAGGACCCCGCCAAGCCCAAGAGCAAGCCTAAGGGCAAGCCTAAGGGCAAGCCCAAGGCAGGAGCGGCTGCCTTGTCTAAAGCCGAGCTGCTCAACAAGCTGCAGGAGCTGGACGACAACGATGGCCCCGACGGCGAGGGTGACGAGGGCGATGAGGATGACGAGCAGTGATGTCTATAGGCCAGTCTTGCGGCAGCTACTTCCGTTCGAGATCCTGGATATGGGAGGAGGGGTGGATGTAGTTCAGATAAAACATCAGAGTGCTAAGTTGTCCAGGGGATCGACGAGCGCACGTAGGCAAGCACCTTGTATACAGGTATACGTGGCCACCGTGTAGTGGCATCGAGCAATGTTTGCTGAGGGTTGCAGACGCCGTTCCCTGACGTGCTACCACCAATGTACCCTCATTGGTAGCCTAGCGTCTGACGCGCCCATGTGCCAGGACCTACCAGGATTCTGGCATCGTCCCTGGGCGCGTGGCATGTAGGCACGCAGGTTTTCAGATGGTGCTCCGCGCTTGTCGTATTCGTTGTTTTACCGAAGTTCTGCACGCATGCTGACGAATGGGTCTCAGACCCGTTTGCTGGCTATTCTGCGCCAGCGACGTAAGAGTCGTCTTGAGTTCAAGCCGTAACACACGTTCGAAGTGAGTAAAGATCAGGCTTGCTGATTCGCCACTTCCAGAGGTCCTGGATGAGCCCACGCGCTGCCATTCCAATACCCTGCTCCTGCGCCTCCTCCTCCTCCTCCTCCTCCTCCTTTCCTCCTTTCCTCCTCCTCCTCCTCCCCCTCCTCCTCATCCCCGCGCCCGCGTCCTCGTGCCCCTTCTAACCCGCAGTATCCCCTTGCGCCCCCAACGCGGCAGCGGGGCCATTGAATTTCGCAGCGCTGCGACTCGGAAGGGGCGTCGAAAACGCCAGCTGGCGTCGCGCGGGCCCTCCTGGAACAAAACAGCGGGCGAACAAAACAGCGGCCCCCGAGGGGGATTTCAAAAACAAGCGTTTCGCCTGAGCCATCCTCAATGTTTTATCCGCCGGCCCACCTCGACCTCGATATTTCCCAGGGAAAGAATCCGCCGGCCCACCTCAGTTGAGGCGCCGGGGACAGGTTTACTAACTAAAAGAGAACCCTGGGCTGGCGCCCTTTCCGGGAACAAAAATAAAACGGAAACAGATGGGAAAAAGTAGGACACCACCGATTAGGTCGAGCCTTGCCCTCCTTCTCCTCACCTCCTGCTGCTGCTCCTCTTCCTCCTCATTCGCATCGCCCTTATCCTATGCCGCGGCAATGTCCAAGGGCCCGCTCAAGCTTCGTTTTTTAACGAAAACGAAACGCGAACAGAAAACACCGTTCAGACTGAGCCCTGGAGGAGGGTGACGAGGGGCACGAGAAGGAGGAGGAGGAAGCGGAAGAGCGGAGCAGGAAGAGGAATAAGAAGAGGAGGAGTCGGAGGATGAGGAGCGGAGGAGGGTGCGAACGGCGGTCGCCCCCCAGTCCCAGGGAGACGCTGCTGGCGTCACAGCTGCGGCCGAAGGCGGCTGGCCCCCTCCTGCGTCCCAAGACTACCCAACACGTCTGCAACAAACGCGATGGGTCACTAACCCAAGCAACCCCAATCTCCGAAAACATTTCGGCCCAAGCTATTGCTCGGACACGGCTACCATTCGCAGCGCATCGAGCATGGATTTAGACTGGTCATTCGAGCTGGCGGCTGCACAGAGGAGGCTTCATGGTTCTCCGAAAAAGGCTGTGCGCAAGAGCATCACCAAGCAGGACTCTAAGGCCTGCCAGCAGAGCAAGAGACAGCAAATTAACAGTTCTAGACCCAGCCAGCCTGCGAACGAGCACCGTAAGCCAACCTGGAGAGTTCAGCCCACCTTGAGACTGAGTTGCCCAAGTGATTACACCATATCCGCTCCACTCATGGTCGGTAGCATGCGTGCTGGCATGCTCAGCGAACAATGGGCGATATCTCGAGAGCATGTCCACGTCTTTGCTGCGGAGACGAACCAACATGCACGCTACTTCATCTCCAAGACAGCGCACGTGCTCAAGATGTTGGGGGACGTCACCAAGCCGACCTTCCACCAAGCAGCGCCTCCTTGCGAGCTGCTGGTGGCAGGATTTCCCTGCCAGCCATTTTCACCCAGTGGCGAAGGTTTGGCCATGCATGACCCCAGGGGGTTAATCATCTTCGAGATCGTGAAATATATGACAACCCACTTACCAAGGATTGCTCTGTTAGAAAACGTGGCCGGCTTAGTTGAACTCCATCTGGACACGTTCGTCAAGATAATCAGCATGCTCCGCGAGATCAAGGACCCGCAGTTCGGGGGCCAGGCTTACAGCATCTTCCACAGAATAATCAACTCGTGCGATCATGGGCTCGTCCAGTCCCGCCGGCGGGTGTACATAGTGTGCATACGACGGACGGGCAGACATAAGCTGGCAATGGACTGGCCAGTTGCAGAGTCGAGACCTCCACTGAGCTCGCTGTTCGATCCTGGTTCCAGGCGCCTGAAGACATATCGAGACTACCCAATGGAGGGCCATTCAGAGAGGGTTAAGAAGCACCTGGAGAACGCAACCACCAAGGTCGGCGTCTACGCAGAGGCGAACTGCTTGGTCGCAGAGGACGTGCCCGTGATTGTCGACACCGATGGCGCCAAGC